TCGTCAAAGGCGGTATCATTATAAATGCGCAAATTAAAAAAGGTTATTTTCACGATTACTTTTTTTATTGATTACGTATATATCTTGATTTGTGGAAATTCTTTAAATTGCGAATGCAATAATAATGACTCTGAAGCAGTTGATAAAGGATCATACTTTAATTATTAATGGGGAACTATTATCACATATAGCCAAGATTATGCTTTGAATGTAATATGATTAATCTCTTTAGTTGTCAGCATTATTCAAGTTTATGTATCAGTGAAGTTTCAAAAGGATAAAATATGCGATAAAAATCTTGCGAAAAAATATATTCTACATTCGAATATTTGACTCGCCGGAAAGAGGTGCAATCAAAGATCAAAAAGTTGACTGAATTGATTCGTAATTCTAAAATATATGTTGTTTACTGGTGCCAGTAAGCTTTGAAATAACAATAGTTTATATTTTTATTGATTGTTTACTTAAATAGTGATTCCGGATTTTCGAGGTAAATTTTTTAATTTTATTTCATTATAAGACAATTTATCAAAATTTGGGTGTACATTACATGAAAAATGAATTCGCACTACTCGCCGAAGTTACGCAACCAAAGAACATATATTCGAACTGTGAATTTGGTTACATGTAATTGCCTTTACTTAATATAGATTTCATTTACTGCTTTATTGAGAAACTTTAAAGTTCGTGATACCAAACCTCGCGTCGATGGGAGCATAAGAAATCCAGAATTTATTTTTTTTCCAATCTAACAGTCGAAACGTTCTCAATTGATTATTTAATAAATTACCTTCCATAAAAAGCTCTTCAAAAAGTCTATCTTGGTTCGTCTTTGACTGTAAGATCTTCCAAAAAGTCACCATTAGACAGTATCTCGACTGCAAAAAAATTTGGGGTGAGGAATATGATCATGTTAAGATCTTGAATTAGACAGCGATGATAATGTCAAACGCGAATCGTGAATTGAACGCGATTAAAGAACTAAAATGCGCTTAAGGAAGACGAGTTAATGTTAACTGAAACATTGTCTGTTGAGTGTGATTATATTTATATTATGAATGATTATCAGAATGATGAATAATTACATCATCGTTATCGAACAGCAGCAACAAAAAAACACGTCACTGGGAAATGATCCATAATAAAGAGTCGAATGAACTTATCAATCTTTTTTAATTTACTTTTTACTAATTAATAATAATTATTATTCTTTACTTGACACTAAAATCATGTCTTCTATACCACACAGCTACAAGTTCTGTCCGAAATGGTGAGATAGAAAATACTATTAATTTTATTCGGTAATTAAGGAAAATTGTTTCTAATTTTGAATTTATTAAGTGATTGTGTTTTGCGTCCGAAAGTATCAACCGAGACGTATCAAGGAAGATCTGACCGCCATTTTCGAAAACTTAAAATGCGCTGTAGTGTTTGTGATTATTCGCAAGACGCTGATATTGGGGATCATCGAGTTTCTCGCACAGAGTTCAAACCTTGGGGCTGGTATATATTTCATTTAATTCTATGTATTGATTATGTTCTATAAATGATCCGCAATACTGATGGTTTTTTTCAAGTCATTTGCAAGAAATTCCCTCACCAGATTTAAAGTTTGATGCAACTATTCACCGTCGCGAAAAACAAGGATGCCCAGAATGCAAGTGTATAATTGAGCCACTTGAATTGCACACTCGACACCAAGATAGCTTGCGCTGGTTTGTATCATTCTTTTGTGATTGTCTGTTACATATGATAGTAATTATTTATCGTTATAGTGATCTGATGTGTTCCGTGTGTGAAGCTGTGTTTCCAATTCCCGATGATCCAGTTAAATCACATGACTAAAAAAATATATATAGCTGAAGTACATATAGAAAAATAACTTTTTAATTTTATTCCTGATCATAGTTTCTTGTGTAAAAAATTTAGCGTTAGCAGACATAAAAGATCTAAACTATAATAAGATAACCTATCACTATCATGTCAGTTTCAATTTTTTTGACAGGAAGCCCAAGAACTGGCAAGACAACAATAATTAAAAAAATTGTTAATAATCTTCAAAGAAAATATCCACCAACAAAACTCTTTATTCAAGGTTTTTATACAGAGGAAGTAGTTTCTGCGTCATCATCGTCACGAAAAAGAATCGGGTTCGATTTAATTACAATAAATTCAACAGAGCCAGGATCTCGTGAAATTCTTGCCAGAAAAGCAAACAATTGGCCTCCAAATTATAACCTTCCCGAAAATGCGCCTCGCGTCGGTGAATACATTGTAGAAACAACTCATTGGTCGCATGTGGCAATTTCTTCGATCACGCCGCCGCAACCTGAAAAAGAACCACAGCAACAACACAATCCACAAAAGAGATTAATTGTAATTGATGAGATTGGGAAAATGGAAAGTTTCTCTGATGAATTTATTCACGTCGCGGAACAAGTGATATTTGGAGAAAGTGATGCTGTTGGGGATGAACGTAATTACTGTGTCCTAGGTACTGTGACATTACGTGATTGTAGTGCGTTGGATGTTTCTATTAAGAAAAAAGCGGGTTTTCGATTGAGGAGTCATGATGATGTGAACAAATCTATTAGAGTAGTTGAAGTCACTCGAGAAAATAGGGATTTATTGGAGGGTAAAATAGTAAGGGAACTCGAATCAATATTGCATTTGGATTGAATTAAATACATGCAGTTTATTTTAATTGTGAAATTAAATCTTAAATCTTAATAAATAATTTAGGTATATATATCGATATATTCTAGAAACCTTGTTTTTTTAATATGCGCCTTCATTGACCAATAAAAATTAAGTGCTGTATGCAAGTATCCCAACAAAAGTAATAAATAAAGTGGATTGCATAACGCTAAATGTTTCATCTTATACATGTTCAGTATATCATTCAGTATACATGTACCTGTCTAACTAGTATTGGTACACAAAAACCGGATATTAATAGATCACATACCGATACCGATAGAAATAAAAATCCCAATTTTTATTTGTTTTTTAAATCAAATATCTCCGTTCTCTACAAACTTATCTTTAAAACGAAGTCTAAGTTAAATTTGCAATTGTGGCTTCAGTAACTCCAATGGTGTCTGACCTACGACGTTTTGTAGAACGCTTCGTACAAGTATATCAAGCACCAAACGAACATCAAGAACGAAATTTTCTCATTATTCTAAAATCAAATATTCTTCCGGGTCAGGAACTCTGGCTTGCGTATAAAAGACGCACCGCTACGACCACGTCACAATACAATGAAACCGCTGCATTAAAAACATGGGAAGATGCGCCGACTTCAGCATGTGGTATGGATGCATTCGTGACGCTTTTGACAAGTGTTTCGTATAATCTTCAATTGTTTGAATGTCTGGCCGAGATCTTGACACCAAGAAGAGAATTGGTGATGCGTTGGATGGCACCGTATTTACATCGACATAATAAATATGATTTTGAAGAGGATAGTTGGCTGTGTGATCCTTGGGGGAGTGGTTATTGGACGGAAGACACGAGGGAATTAAATTTAAGAAGGGATATGATTCATTGTTTGGATATTTTGAGACAATTTAATGGACGTGAAGATGTCATTGCTGAAGCATTGGCTATCCTTGAAGAGAAAGATGTCTCCGTCTATTTAAAAGCTTATTGCCAAGGTTAGAGTGGGTGCAAGGTCACGTGAGTGATTATGAGTTTTTACGTGTAATTATAATATTCGACAATCCAAATTTCTTCATGTATTTTTATTTATTTGCCTCCGTTGGATAGCTTAACGGAAAGATATTTGACGATATAATCTTTTTTATTCTTTGACGAGTTAGATGAGGAGGATCAATATTATCTTTATTATTGAATAGTGACAAAGGCTATATACTACAATTTCAAAATAGTCAGATTCAGAGAAGTAATTTTTTGTTTTAATTCATCATTTTAATATTTTTGTTTATTATAAATTTTTCATTCATATAATTGAATTAAATAACAAAAGCGTCACTTGTGGAAGAAGTAACAATAAATAACTGATTGATTGATCGCAATGCTTAAAATAAAAAAATTATGATTTAATTCCTTTCTTCTCCCGTGGTCAATTCATCACCATGGAGTCTCTTCATCAGTGATTCCTCTCAACATAACTTTCAAGTACATTGGCATCTCTACCCCCTCTAAGATCTCCAAAGCCACATTAATCACTTGCTCTCTACCATTAAATTGTCTTAAAACATCGACACACTCACAGATCCCTTGGCGTAAATACATCTCTCCCACATCCCTGTTCATATACTCTGGTCCCATTCGTCGCAAATCGCAAAGCCACATATTCTGCGCGGGAATATATTTACTAAACCTTCTTAAATACGGGGCCATCCATCGTATGACTAACTCACGCGAAGGAGTGACCACTTCGGCCAAACACTCAAATAGCGTCGTGTTATACGAAGCCGCGTTCAGTAACGTTACAAACGCGTCCATACCACACGAAGAAGTTGGTGAATCTTCCCACATTTTTATTACATTTTTCTCTTCATATGGTTCTTGTTCTATTTTCGCATGCCGTTTTTTATATTGTAGCCAGAGTTCTATACCAACTGGTATGTTGGACTTTAGGATGAGCAAGAATCGCGCTTCTTGAGACTCATTCGGTGCCGTGTATAAAGTAATTAGTCGTTCGATAAATCGTCGAAGGTCAAGTGACATTATGTATCGTTTAACTTGCAATTTCTGGGAGTTTTGACTGCGTATGTAACAATACATGTACTTCCATTGTTTCACGGACCAATTGACAACGATTGTCAAATTGTTTGTCTTTAAAGCAATTAGTTTCGTCCAACTTTGTATCGTGTTACATAATCTTCAGCCATAACGATAATCGTTCTGCGCTTTATGACGCTACGATTACAATAAAATCTCGATAGGTTTTTTGCGTTTTTTTAAGGATGGCTTCCATAACTACCGGCGAATTAAGAACTGTTCGAAATATTATCCTCAATCCTGATTTAACAGTTCAGCAACACATTGATACAATTAACAAATATACCGCCAATGTATACTCGAAAGCTCTTCACTCGTTGACAGAATATAATGTCGCCGTATCCGCAGCAACCAAAGCTCGAGCTGTCGTAGCATTATGGGCAACAAAAAATTTCAAAGAAGTCGATGGAATAGTTCCAAACCTTCTTCCGGCCGAAATGTTTAAACTTTGTCAAATTCTCGATGCACCAAGAAAAGCTCGACAATTACAAAAGAAACTTGACCGTTTCCAAGCTCACAATTTCAACGTAAGAGCCACCAAAAAAAGTCTTATACAATCGGAAATAAATAACTACCGACAAGATATGCATGCGTGTTCTTTGACAAGTTCATTTCAGAAAAGAATCAAAAAGTGGGTTGGCTCTTTTACGAAGGAAAAATTGGATTTCTTTATATTGAGCTTCGCAAAAGATCCTTGGAAGGAATTGGCGGATCTCGCTCATTTAAAAGCATCCGATTTTCAAGCGTCTTATTTCCTTCCAATTATGTACGGAGGTCAAGCGCCTCCGGATAGTTCCATTGCAGCATATATGAATATCAATAGTGAGAATCTTGAAAATGTATTAGCTGAACATCCTTATTTGGCTGAATGTTACTCATACATAAGACAAAAAATTAAGAATAATGAACTTACATTAAACGATACACATAAAAGAATTCTCGCCAAACGTGCACCATTAGAAGATGTTTTATGGTATTACGAAGAACTCACGTGTTCAGCAGCCGACGAAGAAATCGCAACTCGACTAAATGATCGCGAGCCTCTGATCTCCGTGCACGGAAGGTCCAATTACTCGAAATTGATGGAAAGAATTCTAACCTTCCGTAAAATGCAATCAAGCTTCGTCGATCAACTGATCTCTTACGCTGACGAAAAATTGTCTGTAATCCAAATTCCGGAAAGTGAACAGCATAGAGTTGCTGTTTTTGGCGATTGTTCAGCATCAATGGATGTTGCGGTTCAAGTGGCCACAATCATTGGATCATTATTATCAGTTTGTTTGAAAGCGGATTTGAATTTTTTCAATAGTGTCCTCATCAATCCTCCGATTATTCCTCGCACAGCTAGTGAGGTACTTACAGTCACCGAAGCGATCCGAGCATCAAACGCAACAGCACCTGCCGCGTCATTATATCCTTACTACGCTGATCGAAAACCAATAGACGTAGGTTCTTTTTGTGTCTGAATTTTGAATGCTTGCAATCTTGTTAACTTTTATTATTCCTTCATAGATATTTATTGTGGTTACCGACGAAGAAGAAAATACGAACTGTAATGGTTACAGATTTGCACCTCTCTTCAAAAAGTATCGTGACGAGATCGTTCCGCATGCCCAGGTTTTCTTTGTCAGTTTTCTCGAGGGTACAAACGAGGGAGAAATGAAGCAAAGTTTGGCTACGGAAGGAATTACCGACATCAAACAATTTCGCTTGGATGGTCGACGACCAGATCTAAGTAAATTTGATGAGTTATTGGGTATGTTAGCGATGGAACTGGCCGTTCTTTCCGAAACCAAGAAGTAAAACATAATTTATTATATTCGTATTTAAATTTGTAACCGTTAATAAAAAGTTAAGAAAATCCAAATATGAGAATCGTAAAAGACCATGCCCTTATTGAATGGAATAGATTTAAGAAAGTATGTCGGAGTTGTGCCTTTCTAACTTCCGCACCTAAATATGATAAATTTTTTATGACATTGAATAATAAAATTCGGATCCAGGTTTCTTTCTTTTGTCTAATTCAATTTACAAACCATAACTTTGAGGATAATTCAACAATATTATCATTATTTGCACGCTGCTTTAAAACCATTCAATGAGTTTTATTTCTTGTTTTCGTGGATACGACGTAATATATAATCCGAAACAAATTTCTTCTACAGATTCTTTTGCTTTACACTGGTCCAAATGTCAAAATGCAGTAGCAATTCGGTACCAAAATTCGTTCGAATTTTGAATTTTGAATTCGGAACAAGGAATATAATAATTCGACAAAATTCGGATCGAGTTGCTATGTATTTTGATATTTGGACTAATGAAAGTTATTGCTACTAAACTCATTATCATAGTTTATTAAAGCTTACAGTTTTGAGTAGGAATGAATACGTATATCAATTGCATTAAAACTTTTTTCTTTACACTTCAGTAAAAGTACATGTGCAAAGTAACGTCCAATTTGGATGTGCAACAACATAAATTTAAACGTGGCCTTTTCCGCCTCCAGTTGACCGACTTTGACGAG